CGTATCCAAGGGTCCTTCCAGAGCCAGGAGACCCATCCAAGAATAGGGCTAGAGGAAGACACTCCTGCAAAAAGTTAAGCTCCGGGGCTGAGCTTAAATGAGGGTCCTGTCCTATGGGTGTGGGGGTGTCGGGTGAGGCTGGTCAGGGCCATTAAATGCTGTTGGTCCCCTGGGGCTGACCCAGGCTGTGCATCACCTTTAGCAACCAGAAACTCCCCAGCCAGCGAACACAGCTATGATAGCCTGACCTGGGCAAAGTATAACAAGGGAACACAGGCCCCTAGGAGTCAAGGCCATCGCTGATGCCCTCTCCGGAGGTGATGGGGCAATGTGTGGGGCTGGAGCTTTCTCACTGAGCTGTGGGTCACGCCGTGGGTGGGCAGGCAGCTCAGGGCAGGCTGTATCCCCGTGGGGGCAGAGGTAGCAGTGGGGACACAGAGGGGATAACACATCATACTAGGGCTTTATACACCTAACTCAAAATTAAGCTTTGTTTTTTAATAAGCATATCTAAGAGTGATCTTTCTCTCTTTGTTATTATTTTAAAGCTGTAAATTACCAAAAGACTTATCATCGCTCTCCCAAATCATTCTCGGGTGAACAAAAGACAGTTCTAAATTTGACAGTGCTTTGCAACAAAATGAGCTGGGTGCATTTCGCTCATGATTTGCTCTTAGCTCCCTTTAGCCATGTCTTAAACTACTTCACTGCTTGGTCTGATTAGCAGTGTCTCCTTGGGGGCAGAGGAGGCCCTGGAAGAGCCGGAGGTGTTGCAGGTCAAGATTAAAGCGCTCTGTATGCCATTAACTGTCAAGACTGTAACTAGCTTAAATCAGTGCAATTAGATGGCTCACAAGTTGCAGGAGTAACAGCTGCAGCTTTTCATTCCTCATGCTGTGTGCTTAAAGCACAGCCTTGACATTAAAGGGACGTGATTAAAAGCAGGTGTCGGGGGCTGAGACCTGGCAGAGGAGCTCAGCAGGCAGGGTTAAGTCCACAGCTGCTTCTGGGGTTGGACATCCCAGGGTCTGGGAAAGATCTCAGAGCCAGCTCAGCTTTTAAGTCTGTAATGCCATCTTGTGATGGCAGCTGGGAATCGGAAACTGCAGGGTCCCCTCGCCAGATGAAGTGTGTGGCTCTTGTTCAGATGGATAGAAATCCAGAAATACCCCAGTTTAACAACTCAGGGGCTAAGAGAAAATTTGTTTCTAACTGAAAATCTCTATTCATGCTTTCAGGGAGTGAAAATTATTCATTCAGTTAATATTTCTCTCTCTAGTTCAATTATCTGGCTGCAAAAGCAATTTCTTCCAGGATGAAGAATTTGACTTGTCTCTCCTTGAGGGCTGAAGCCTAATTATGCTTTTCAGCATGGTAGGATGCAGTGTCACTTGTGTAGTGAGCTGCGGTGGAAGGACCTCTGGTTCCAAGTGCCATAGCCAACCAGTAAAGGTACTTTTCTTCCTGGATTTAAAATGGAGAGTTCAGCAAGATCAACTCTGTTGTAAGCATCCACAGTGACCTCAACACTGAGATGTGTACGCAGAGGCACTGAGAACCAGCACAGCAAACACAGGGTCTGTGAAGCTGGAAAAAATGAAACCAAGTGCCAGCTAACGGGAACAAGAGTGCAGGCGAGCTGGCTCTCTGCTTACCCCCGATACTGCACTTCAGATACACTGGGAAGGAAGAGTCAGCTCAGAAACAGCTGTGGGCTGCCAACAGCAAAAAACTTTGCCCTGAAACATGCAGAAAAAAAAGCTGTAGTCCTGCCAAGTCCAGTGCTGAGAGACACAGCTACACCTTTCCCAACCTCCTTTGGATGCCTTAACACTGGCTCGGGTGCCCCGTGCATCTGTGGCCAGGCACAGCAGTGTAGCTATAACCTCTCTCACTTGGGATCCATTCAAAGGATGTTTTTCACTGGGGCTTTGTGCTCCAGTGAGACATTTCAATGCCTTTTGGAGAAGGCTGGCATCCCTCCCCCATGTCCTCCTGTAGCTTAGGCTCTCAGAGCTTGGGGATGGCACTGAAGCTCAGCTGGAGCTGCCTCTTGTCCCAGGCAATCATCCACTCCATCTTCTTCAAATGCTTCTTGGTCTTTTTGCAGCCCAAGGTGGGCAGCTATTCTTCCTGGATGTGGGGGATGCTCCCCGATACAGCCTGCCCCTGCCCCATCCCAGGAAGTGCTGGGCTTGTTCTGCTCAGGACAGCCACGGCTGAGTGCGGGGAGAGAGGCTGGTGCTGAGCGGTGGAAAGAACTAGGTGCTTCCTCAGCTAGTGATGAACTCAGTGAAGGACAAGAGTTTCCTGGCTATGCTCCAGTGAAGATCCAGGACCGATGAAAAGCTCCTATGCTAGAGGGACAGGTAATGGCAAACACAGAGGCCACTTCACGATTTTGTTACTGGAGGTCTTGCTGCCTGTGGCTGAGGGCATGTGCCCACAGACGGGGCTGGATGATGAGCTCTGCCGAGACCCGGAGCAGGCTGCCTAAGCGACAGCTCCAGTTTGGAAGCTGTGTAGCTCATTAGCACAGCGTGAGGCCCAAATGAATATGCTTTGCCTCCTATAATAAAATGTTTTCAGCAGGACCAGGGAGATACTTCAAAAGCTTTCCGAACACCAAATACCAGAACTCAGCGACTTTCAATGCCAGGACCAGCCTCTCACTTCACAGCATAGATTTCCCTGCGTTCCTGCACAGCTTTCCTCTTCAGTAGCTGGGTTTGGAGCATTGGTTTATTTCAAACAAATGATTGTGTATTATTTGTGAGCCCTGGATAAAAGATGTCACACTAGGTGAAACACAAGGGCTCTGCCATGGGTATCAAGTAAAGCCCTTTTCTGTCAGCTTCCTGGTGAACATGCCCTCTACATCAGCTGCATTCCTCCGAGGGGAGGAGAAAACGCTTCTGAAACAGGCTGAGCCCAGGAATGCCATGCTTGGAGCTTGTGCTGCTGCAACCTGGCCAGAAACCAGTCTGCAGAGCTAAGCACAACCACACCATGACTGGAAGCAGCACCTGGCTCAGCAACAGGTCCTCCTGCCTGATCCCTGCCTGCTTCCAGGCTTGGTGACAAGAGCTACAGGCAGCTGCCTGCAGCGTTACCCCAGAAGTGTCCACAGCACTGCCTCGACTAGCTGAGAAGTGGTTTCACAGCAGTTTCATCTGCTTAGCTGTGTTGGCCTTCCCTCTCTCCCAGGCCATAGCTGATGTCAGCAAACATCACATTGTTCTTTGATATTGAGATCCCTGCTTGGCCTGTTGTTCATCTTAGCTTGGTGGAAGCTAAATACATCCTCCTTTTCTCCTTCAAGTGCAGTGTTGGGGACTGAAGGGACTGAGACTCTTTGTTTCAAGCCAGATTAGAGATATATGTTACCATAAAACAAAAGCACAGCCAGCCTTCAGAAGAGCTCCTCTAGTCTAGACAGCCTCTCTTGAACTCCCTGCATCCCTGCGCAGCCCTGCACTTCGTGCTCAAAGCAACTCAAGAGGCTCCAGAAGCCTGTTTAACCCCTGTTGAGTAAATGCTGTTACAGAATAAAGCAGGGATCACATCTGAGAGATTTTGCTCCCATAAATTAGCAGGATGGGTTAAATCCAGACATGAACCACTCTCTGCTGGCAGAGCACATCCGCTCGAGGGACGTGCAGTAGCAAGGAGCTGTAATGCTTCAAAAATATGTGTGCTACAAGCCTAGGATGGGACAGACTAACATCTGGAGCTCCTGCAACAGCAAAGAGAGATGCTCTACTGTTATCCTCAGCTCCTAACCCACCGGTGTCCGGGGAACCGCTGCCTGCGCTGCGTCACCTGCACTGCTGCGGTGCTGCCAGACTGGTACATGTACCGTAATCCTTCCGTACCCATCGGACTGTGGCTCAACAGCATCTGTGCCATACAGGCAGGCCCTGGAGCAAAAGAAAGAGCAACGCTGTGGGAGGGAAAAGTGTGAGAAACAAGCCCACGTATATATATATAAAAAGGTATTATTGGGGACAAAGTCAGTGGAGCAAAGAATACAGGGCTGGTTACAATGGTGCGCCCTGCCCCAGCAGAGGCCTCTTTTTATAGTTCCAGTCCTCCTTTTTTGTACCTGCGCAGTTACTTTTTCTTGGTTTCTTCAGGGCTGTCTCTCCCTGCACTTTTCCACTGCTTCACTACTTATCACAAAACAGACAGCTGCTGAGCGGGGGAGGCAGCCGCAATGTTGTGTGTAACCTTCGGTTTAAACATGAAATCAAACAAAGAACAGTGCAACACAGCTAGGCCAAGCAACAAATCCACTTTTTCTCCTTTCCCCCCCTCCTTCCTCTTCTTCTGTGGAGTTTACAGCCAGTCTCAGTGGTCCTCTTCAGAGCGGGGTGGGGGGTGATGGTGGGGAAAGAAGTCCAGGTTCCTCTTCATCAGTTCTTCGCTTAACCCTTTTTCTGCTGGCTTCCATTCCTCTTTACATGATAACTAACCACAGACCACCCCCCCATCCTTTTGCTTGCCCAACTCCACACAATGCCCAACCATATGCTTGTGATCAAAAAAGTCTTGCTTAACTGTTATAATTTTAACAACACTAATTTTTAATAACAGCTTTAGCCTAACTCAATGAAAGTAAAAGTTCTCCTGTTATTTATCACAGAAGAAAATTCAGTAAATCACTGCAAGAAAAGTTCTGCAAATGCGCTGTGCCAGCCAGGCCCGTGTCCCTTGGCCCTTCCTGCCGCAGGTACCGTGGCTGTGACATCCAGCAAGGCAGCTTTGGGCACTAGCTGGGCTCTGATGAAAACACTCGTGTAACCTTACTCGTCCGTCACACCTGGGGACTGCAGACGGCAACACACTCTGATCCTACAAGCACTGCAGGAAACACAGCGTTTCCTCCGCCTTTTTCCCGAAATGGCTGAGTTTATTCCCACCCAGCCCGCCCGAGCGAGGCCGCCCCGGGCCGGGCCCGCCCCGAGGGGAGCGGCCGGGGCGGCGCCTGCGGAGCCACCTCGGCGGCGCGGCGGGGCCCGGCCTCTTTCTGTGCCCGCCGCCGTGGGGGCGGGCTGCCAGGAGGTGAGGTGAGGGGCGCCGGGCCGCCTCCCGCCCGCCATGAGGGGAGGTGAGGGGCGCCGGGCCGCTTCCCGCCCGCCATGAGGGGAGGTGAGGGGCGCCGGGCCGCTTCCCGCCCGCCATGAGGGGAGGTGAGGGGCGCCGGGCCGCTTCCCGCCCGCCATGAGGGGAGGTGAGGGGCGCCGGGCCGCTTCCCGCCCGCCATGAGGTGAGGGGCACCGGGGCTGGAGGTCTGGGGCGCCTCACTCCTCCCCAGGGCTCTGGAAACGGAAAACGTCACGTGAAATAGTCCCTGGGGGTTTTCTGTGTGTGTTTTTTTTTGTTTGCTTGTGTTTTTTTGGTTGGTTGGTTGTTGGGTTTTTTTGTTGTTAACGGCTGAAAGGCGGTCATGCATAGCCACCTGCGCTGGCTGATAACCTCTGAGGCCCTGGGACCGGTGGGTAATTTCTCAGCCTATTAATCGATATGATTTTTTTTTTTCTTTCCCCCTTCCGCAAGCCAGATCCCAGCAGTTTAGCTGTATTAATACAGAGTTAATTAATTGAGTATCTGAAGTGATGTTTCTCTTGTGCTCTCTGCAGGGCTTACAGCTGACCCGCAGCCTCAGCGTGCGCAGGGGGATCACGGTGACTCGAGGTCCTGGGTGGCAGAGCGGTGTGGAAGATGCAGCCCTCACAGAACCGGCCCTCACCCGTGGCCTTCGGTTGTGAAACCCCCCGAGTTTTGCAGTAGCGTGACCCGTGCTGGGGGAGATGTAAAGGAATAACCTGCCCGTGAGGCACGGGGAGAGCTTCAGGACGCTTTCAAGGTACAGGGGCAAAGACTGCGAGCCAACAAGGGGAGATGAGCTGAAAGATTGTTGTTTCTGCCATACTGAGTAAACTGAATGGCCTCCACTGTCTCGTGAATGGGCTGTTGTGCCAGGCTCTGGTGCTCTGGGCAGGAAATAATAAGCTGCTTCATGTGGCGAAGCACACAGCGCTGCCAGTTGCTGGAGGAAGCCCTGATGAGGGGAGGTGCTAAAAGCAACACCCACATCACCACAGAGATGTACTTTTGAGCCTCTACTTCCTTCTGTCCTTTAAAAACTCAGTTCTGAGTTGCATTTCATCCAGCAGTAGTCAGCTAGCTGTCGCTGCTCAGTGCCTGTGATAGTGTTATGCTGCTGGGAGAGAAACACGCTGCCAAGTCGTGCCTGGCACCGCCGGTGCTGTTCTGGCATTGGATGGTGCCAGGTTTTGGCAGCGCTCTGCATGCCTGAGAGTGGAGGAGCTCCTGCTCGGTGGAGTTAATCCTAGATTGGATGCAGACAACACAGAAAATGTAAAAAAAAAAAGTTGCATTTTGTTTAATCTTTCCTGTTTTGTATAAAGATGAAGGTCAGCTAATTAACTGGTTAGTGTTAAGGGTTGAATTTTGGGGTCTTTAGAGATATTCCTGTTTACTGTCTTTGTATGTTTTTTAATTACAGGCAAATAATTTGCATGTTTTGCTGCATTTGGGGGCTTGCTGGAGCAGCAGTAGTTGTCAGAAGAAAAGGAAGAAGCTGTTGGTGCTGCTGTGGAGATCCCCATTTGAAAGAGACTGAGAAGATGGAAACTTACAGTCCACAATTTAAATGGGGCTGGTAGAGAAGTGCTTGTAACTTGGAACATCAAAGGTGGTTGTGGGCAAGGTGTAACAAGAATTACATATACAATCTGTTAATTATTAATCCCCTCTCACTACTTGTTTAAAATTATATTTTTTTTCTGTGACCTCTATTTATTAAACTTATTTATATTTAAACTTGCTAATTTTGGTTTTCACTGTTAAGGCTGTGAGGTACAGCCGGTTTTGAAAGTTACGTTGCGTTCTTGGCTGTGGGAAATTGGAGGGGCAGGAGTGGGGCACTGGGTGCCTGGTGCCACTCCTGCCACACACCCCTGCTCTCTTCCATAACCCCTTGCTGTAAGGGCAGATTTTCCACAAGTCTTCCTTTCCTTGAGTGCTCTGAAGGTGATAGGTGTTTAATGTTTTCCATAAAGGAGATAAAGTCTAATTCCTGTTTCTGCTGCATACACAGCCGGTACAAGTTTGCAACATATCCTTCCCAAGCTTCAGTTCCTGACTTGAAAAATTTCTCATTATCTCCCTTCCCTGGGCCTGCAGGGAGGTAAAGCCCACAAAAGATGGGGCAGTTGGAAAAGGTTGCCCAATATGTAAAATACAAGGAAACTGGTGGGGAGGGGAAAGGTGATCATGGCTTCAGACAAGGCTGTTTAAACTCAAAAGTGACTAGTTCTTGGAGCAAAGGAATATATTGTTCTCACCAAGATGACTGACCCATTTGGATTCAGTGCAGTCTTCTGGAGAATGCGGTGTTTGTAAAATAATCCAAATTTAGGAGATTTTCAGTTTTAGCCTAAAATTTCAGTTTTTTAAAAATGGTTCGATGGTCTTCAGTCATAATTATCCTGTCATAGATGCTGCTGTAGCTACAGTGCCATCTATACAGAAATTAGAAGCGTGGACATGAGCCTGCTGTGGTCCACCTTGGTACCTGCAGGAGGGTAACAGTGTCAACGTGTTTAGGTGGTTAGTGGCTGGAAGTTATAAATGTGAGGCTTTTGATAAAACACTAGCACACATCGGGTTAGTTCCCAAGTTACTGACGGCTTATGTCAAACAGGTGCTTCTGTCATGTAGCTCATATAAATGAACTACAGTGCTGAATTTTTTCAGGGCTGTCCTAATTTTTAAGTGTCCCTCGCACTGCTCAAGTGCCCCCTTCTGCCATCTGAATATCACTGATCTTTGAATGTACGTTTGTTATACTCTACAGAAATACTTGTCAAAGCATTCAACATTGCTGGGAACAAGTTCTACCTGCAAAACTAATAACCAGGTTTCCTACGGATTTATATCGTGCCCACCAACCTTCTTCTTTCCCAGTACTCGTGAGGGAGGGGAGCGGTGGGTGTCCCTTGGCCGGTGCCCACTGCCCTCAGGCTGGAGGGGTTTCTGGCTGCCAAGGCACACACTCACTGTTGGGGGTCTCTGCTTCTGTACCAGGCATGTCTGCAATCAGCAAAAAAATGAGGAATATACGCGCTACTGTCAACCACATAAAGCATGTGCTATGTAGACAATAAATACATGCTGAGTGGCTTATTTTCCTTGAAAAACTGTTTCTGCGATAAAGCTCTGCTACATTCATGTCAGGGCTGAACCCAAGACTTGCAGGCCTGGCTGTGCTGTAACAAAAAAGGTAACAGAAAAGGATGGAGAAAGTCTTCTGCTGGGAGTGATTATCCCATCAGAGCACTGGGGGCAGCTGCAGAGCTCTGCATCATGAGAGCTCTCCTGATGCCCTGCAACTCTCAGCTGGAGGGGTACCACTTTTTCCCCAAATCCACCGGGCTTTGTGCACGTACTGGAAAAGAAAAACCTCAGGAACGTCATGCAGGTTCTCCAGTGATGAGCACGAGCACAGGCTTAGGGCACCAGAGCTCTGCGCCTTACGCAGCAGCTCTGTTAGCAGGGTAGTGATGGTCAGCGCCGTACGGCTCCTCCTGCAGCGCAAACGCAGGCAGTAAAGGTCAAAACGATTCATCTGGCCACCACTTTGGTGCCTTGACCGGAGGACAACAAAGGAATTGAGAGAGAACCCATGTGGGCTAAGAGGAACAAAGCACTGGTGGTTGAAATAAAGCCAGAGAAATGGAGCAAGACCTGCTTTTGTGCTCGGGAAATAGTAGTGTGATTTATGATTCTGTTTATTAGCACTGTATGTTTTGCAATCTATATATGACTTTTACTGGGCAAAAGTGGCTGGGCTGCTTTCCATTTCAACAAGGTGCTTTGCTCTGCTTTTACTGCTCTGCAGTACCTGTGCACAGTATTGTTAACTTAGATTTATGTGTTTGTTTTTGAGCACTTAATTGTTTTTTATCCTGAGCTTGTTAAGAGAGCTGAATTTCTTGTGATTGTTCTCTGAGCACTTCCGTATTATTTCAACATGTATTTTGTACCAATCCCCTGTTTTCTTCAAATACCTTCTGTGCTATTGTTTCATTGTGCTCTCCAGCCACATGTAGAGAAGAAAAATCAGCCTGTGATGAATTAAAAAGGCAGATTTTTCCTTTCCCCTGGAGACTGAATTCAGCTACACACTCTCACCTTTGTAAAGCTGCTGGAACGTATCAGCTTCCAAGATGATGGAGACGTCACCAAAATCAGGAATAAAACTCCTGGGTTTAGCATTAATGAGCAGGCATTACTTTATTCAGCCGGAGGCATGACGAAATTATTCCACCTGACATGTCCACCGTATGTTACACTGGCCAAAGCTTACAGCACTCTCTTACATACATATGCATTAAATTTTCCCAGAATGATTGTACATAATCATTCTATTTCCTGGAACTAATTATCATATCTACATACTTACTACGCATGTGGTTTGGGTCTCTGAGGGGCTTCCATGGGGGTCATTGGTGGTCTCTAGTGGTTTTTAGGAGGAACTTTTCAAGCCTTTGAATTTCCTTCCCTGTATGGTAAGGACTTGGCTGTTCATGTTTTCACTTCCTTATCTTCTACCTAGTTTCAGCTGGTTCATCATTCTTCAGAGGGTCCTAATCTTCCAGGGCAGGAGCTTCTGATTAGGAGTCTTTCAATTACCCTGTCACTACCTGTAAGCAAATCCAACAATCAGTCATATTCAATGTCTTTGCAAAATTAATTTTTGGATTTTCATACGCATTGCCACGACCAACTCCATTAATGATGGTATCTATCCCCACTGCACCCCACCCCAGAATACATAATGTGAGAAATGTTCTCATCTCATTGCTGGTGATGTTGCTTTCCACTGAGGTACTTCCAGTGGCAGGGCTAGTATCACCCAGTGAAATGTGTCCACCAGTCAATCCATTTTACCTTGACTGCTGTGTGGGTGGTCAGGAGGACTCAGAATGGTCCTTTCCACTTTTCTCTAAGAGGTCTGTTATTCCAGCTCCTGATGTACACTGAGTCTCCTGGGTGATCAGGATGAGCTGGAACATCCAAGGTCACCGGGGAGGCTAAAACAACAAATCTATGCAAAGATGAGAGTACTTTCACTAAAGATGTTACATATTCCCTTAAACCACAGTTTCCCATTATATGACTGTCCCCTGGAAAAAGTTATTTTATAGGATCTTCCTTATAGGATTTCGTAAGGGCTCACCTTTTCTTTGGAATTTGGTTGAATTCTTGTTCTTAATAGGGCTAAAGGAAGAGCCACCAGCCATTCAAGTGATGTTTCCTGGCAAATTTTACTAATTTGTCTCTTCAGGTTCTGATTCATCCATTCCACCTTCCCACTAGATTGTGGTCTCCATGGGGTATGTAGGTCCCACTTGATTCCCTTTATTTTGGATGAGTTCTGCACAACATCTGCTATAAAATGAGGTCCTCTATCTGATGACATTCCCAATGGAACTTTGAATCTGGGTATTACTTTAATAGGACTTTTGCTACTTCCCTAGCTTTGTTGGTGAGGCAGGGAAAGGCTTCAGGCCCTTCTGAAAAGGTATTGACCAAACCCAGCAGATATCAATATCCCACTTGTCAAGGTGGTTCTGAAAAATCTATTTGCCAGTAGTCCCCAGGGCAATTCCCTTTTTTTGTGTTCCCTAAAGGGGGTCTCTTGTACGAATGGGGGTTATGCTGTCAACAGGTTATACACTAACTGACCACACTTTTAACGATACCTGTCATCCTTACACTTAGCACTTGCCTTTTTAAGTTATCCACAATAGCTTCTGCCCCCCAGTGTGTTGCGTTATGTTTATCTTCAGCTAACTGTTTCATTACAGCCTGTGGTACTATGACTTGCCTATCTATAATCACCCGTCACCCATCAGGATTTCAATGAGCTTTTAATATTTCAGCTGTTTATCCTGGCTCTGATACTCAGGTGCCTCTTTTGGTAAGTTTACCTGTTTGGACAGTACAGCAACTAGGATGCTTTCCTCTGCCACCTTCTTTGCCATTTTATCCGCTAATTGATTTTCTGCATTGACTGAGGTATGTCCAGACTGATGGACTTTACAATGAATAATGGCTACTTCTCTTGGTAACTGGACATTTTCTAGTAATTGCTTGATAATGTCTCTGTATTTGATTGGTGATCCTTGGGCTGATAGTAATCCTCTTTCTTTCCATATGACTCCATGGGCACGTACTACTCTAACCGCACATCTGGAGCCCGTCCAGATGTTGACTCTTTTTTCCTTTTGACAGTTCTAATTCCCGTTGTAATGCTCAGTTCTGCCTTTTGGGCTGAGGCATCAATCGGTAAAGGTTGAGCTTCCACAACCCCAGTGTGAGTTACCACTGCATATCCAGCTCTTCATTTTCCTTCACGCATGTAGCTGCTACCCTCTGTAAATAGTTTTTCCTCAGGGTCCTCTATCAGAGTGTCTGTTAAATCTTCTCTGCTTGAGTAGACCTGTTCGATGGTTTGGAGACGACTGTGTTGTAGCATTCCCTCCCCTCCAGACACAGCATCTAAAAACATTGTGGGGTTAAGAGCAGTAGTTATCTTTAGTTCCATGTCTTCTTGCTCTAAGAGGACTACTTGGTATTTTAGCATCCTGCTTGGGGATAGCCAGTGGCCCCCCTTTTGCTCCAGTATGGAAACCACCATGTGAGGCACACAGTCATTTTCTTTCCCAGTGCCAGTTTCTGGGCTTCTTGGCTTAGTCGAACCGTGGCAGGCACCGCTCTCAAACACGCTGGCCATCCTCTGCTGACATTATCGAGCTGCTTAGAAAAATATCCTACAGCTCTTTTCCATGACCTCAGCCTCTGAGTTAGCACTCCCACAGCCTGATGGAATCTTTCGTGTACAAAGAGTTTGGTTAGATCGAGCAAGCCCAGGAGCAGGGCAGTCATCGGAGGTTTTTTTAGGGTTTGAAAGGCAGATCTGCCCTCAGGAGTCCAATGCAGTACCTTCTTTGATTTTTAAGCGTGTCATACAATGGCTTCACAATTAATCCATAACTAGGAATCCAGTCAGCACCACCCAGCCATTCCCAAGAAGGCTCATAGCTCCCGCACCAATCATGGTCCTGCTGTTTGGCAAATCGCTTCCTTCCGCTCTGTTCCCAGGCTCCGCTGTTCCTGTGATATGGTGAATCCCAAACACAGGACCCGGGTCTTTGCTATCTGCACCTTTTTCTTGGATGCTTGGTAGCCGGCTTGTCCTAGAAAATTTAACAGGCTAATAGTTATCTGAATGCACTCATTCGGGGAGGAGGCGGCTATCAGAATGTCATCCATATATTGAAGGAGAGTTATATTCTCATCCTCCTTTCTCCATCGTTCCAGTTCCTTTGCCAGTTGGTTTCTGAACAAGGTGGGGCTATTTTTGAACCCCTGTGGCAACACAGTCCAAGTGAGTTGTGTCTTCTGTCCTGTACTCAGACTCTCCCATTCAAATGATAAAAGTGCCTGACTGCTCAGCTCCAGAGGTACGGAGAAGGAAGAAACCTTTAAGTCCAATACTGTAAACCATTTATAATTTTCCCTGATCATTGTTAATAGGGTGTATGGGTTATCTACTAGTGGATGTATGTCCTGCACTATCTGATTAACAGCTCTAAGATCTTGTACTAATCAGTACTCCTCCGAATGGGGTTTCTTTACTGGCAAAATGGGAGTATTGTAAACTGACTGATATTCTACTAGCAATTTATATTGCATAAACTTATTAATTAATTTTTCTAATCCACTTCTTACTTCTAATTTTAAAGGATATTGCTTCTGCCTTACCAGTCTGGTGTTAGGTTTCAGATGTATTCTTACTGGCCCTGCTGATCTGGAATATTGATGGCCCAGACTAACGGTATGATGGCATTTTCCACCTCCACTGGAATTTTTTCCTCCACTTTAGGCTGCTGTAACATGAGAACTTGGGCTTCCAGTGCTTTGCTTTCTGGAATATGTACCTGTATTTGTCCGTTACCAAAAGTTATTCGAGCATCCAATTTACTTAATATGTCCCTGCCTAGCAAAGGCATTGGACATTCTGGCATATCCAGAAATTGATGTGTCAACCGATTTTTACCTATTTTGAATTTTATATGTTGAAAGAATGGTCTATTCTCCCCTTTTCCTGTGGCACCAACTATGTTTACAGTGTCTTGGCTAAAAGCCCCTTTGCAGGTATTTAAAACAGAATATGTAGCTACCAGGAGATCTATCTCCTCATTCCCCAGCACCAGTGTAACCAGGGGCTCAGCTAGGGATGACTCCCCTGGACCTCTTCATGCCTCATCCAGAGTCATCAACCTTGTGACATGTTCAGGGATTGCCCCACCAGCTCTTTCTCTTCTTGGACAATTTCCAGTGTCCCTTTTCTTCACAAATAGCACATTGATCCCTATCTAGGGGCTGGTGCTTATACCCAGCCTTTTCAATTCCAAGTCAGCCCCATCCTCTGTAACCCCCTCTCCATGTCCCCGGTTTGGTTAGTAGGCGATCAGTCTTTTCTCCCGATTCCTCTGAATCACTTCCCTGTTATTATACACCTTCCAGGCTACTTCCAGTAGCTTATTAAGGTTCCTCAAATCCTCCCCCTCCAGCTTTTGAAGTTTCTTTCGGATATCAGGGGCTGACTGCCCCACGAACAAAATAACCAATTGCAAAGCATCCCCTTCCCTCTCAGAATCCAGATTTGTATATCTCCGGTCTACGGACATTAACCACTCATGGAAACCAGAGGGAGACTCCTCTTTTCCTTGTATTACCTAATATAATTTGGACAGACCAATAGCTTTTGGGGTATCGTTTCATACCAAACACTATTAATCTCTGGTTAATAACTCTCTTTGAGCTGGGTTGTTTGGATCCCATTGAGGATCCACTGGTGGGAAATGATCATTTGCAGTTCCCAGTTGGGCATTCTGGGCATACATTCTCTCAGCCTCCTCTTTCGCTTTAGCTATTACCATAGTTCTTTCATAAAGAGTTATCAGAGTATCTAACTCTACCCGTATATCATTCCAATCAGAATTTGGGGTTCTGATTATGGTCTCACATACCTTTGCTACTTTCTCCGGATCCTCTCTGTATATCCCTGCTAATTCCTTCCACAACCTCAGGTCAGTTACTGAAAACGGAACTTTAACAGTTACTGGCCCATTATTCCCTACTGCTTTTCAAAGAAGAGCTTGCAGTACCTCCCCCCTTTCCTCCTCACGAAGTTCCATCCCTTCAGGTTCTCCCTTGCTATAGGACTAAACCCATCTTCAGAATCTGTATCACCCTCTCTTTCTCTTCCCAACCTTTCCTGCCTTGGCAGCTCCTGCCCCTGGCGTCCTGAAGACACCAATAATTCCACATCCTCCTCTTCTGGGTACCCATGCTTAATACAACGCTTTCCAATGCTACATGTGGAACAACACCTTTTTGATCTCTTTCCCTGATCTTTCCCTAAGGCTTAAACCATAGGATCACTTGGTATTGTACCACAACTTTCTGTCATTCTGGATGATTTTCCAGCAAAAAGAACAAATCAATGGATGGTACTTCATCCCGTTTTCCCTCCCTCCCACAAAACATTAATTGTAATATAGTATTATACTTTAGGGTCCCATTCTTTGGCCATTTCTCTCAATCTTCCAAAATGTACATTGGCCACCAATGATTACAGTACTCAATTAATTGTCTCCTGGCAACGGGTTCACTTTTCATATCTTTCCAATGTTATAATATACATCCCAAGGATGACCTTTTTAGAATTACTCTCTCAGAGGACTGAGTAGTACTCATATTAAAATAAAATAAACAATTTCACGCACAAACAATACAGTATCTAACAAAACATACAAGATTATAGTTACAAATACAACAATAACCAGTACCCTGGCTGGCACTCCGAGTGTGCCTATGGTAGCGTGCAATCTAGGCTTCTTTCCCGGGTTTCTCTTAAAGACCTAACCCTGCGGGAATTCCTCCATCCAGATTTATGGACTGGCTTTTCCAGGAGGTCTGGTCTAGAACCCACAATCCTGGATTATCTTCAGTAATGCCCTAAAAAAACCCAAGGATCTTACCCCAAACTCACTGGATCAGGGGATCAGAGGATCTCATTGAAAAACACTTCAGTGGTGCCAGAGTCCTCATGATCCCGTGAATCTGTCAAGCGTCAGGGGCAGTGTCCCATCTGGGTCGCCAAATTGTCACTGAAATCGGGAACAACACTCCTTAACACTGAGATTAGCATTAATGAGCAGGCATTACTTTAATCAGTCGGAGGCATGATGAAATTATTCCCACCTGACTGTATGTTACATTGGCCAAAGCTTATAGCACTCTCTTACATACATACGCATTAAATTTTCCCAGCATGATTGTACATAATCATTCTATTTCCTAGAATTAATTATCATATCTACATACTTACTATGCATGTGGTTTGGGTCTCTGAGGGGCTTCCATGGGGGTCATTGGTGGTCTCTAGTGGTTTTTAGGAGGAACTTTTCGAGCCTTTGAATTTCTTTCCCTGTATGGTAAGGACTTGGCTGTTCGTGTTTTCACTTCCTTATCTTCTACCTAGTTTCAGCTGGTTCATCATTCTTCAGAGGGTCCTAATCTTCCAGGGCAGGAGCTTCTGATTAGGAGTCTTTCAATTTACACCTTCCCCAAGATGTGGTTATCACTGCTTGCTTAGCTCAAGGACCACTGTGCAACAGGTATGTTGCAGGTGTTCAACTGGCTGTTCTTATTTAGCTCTTAAAGATCCTCTCTCCAAAATGTATTACCCTTTTTCCAACAGAGAGACTGGTTATTTAGACACAAAGTTAAATTGTAAAGAAATATATTGACTATGAATTTCAAATCATAAATAGTATTTATCCGATTGTACGAGTACTACTTTGGTCATACAATCAACCAATTTAAGGAGAGTGCAGGAAAAGTGAATTTTCCTCGTACCAGCGCAAGGTGGCAATATTGCCTCAGATGAAAAGGAGAGCCTTGCACATAAGCTGTAGTGGTTTTTTACCAGAACCTTCTAATGAACCTTACAGGCATTAAGATCCTATTGTCTTAAATATTTTAGAGATGGTAACATCTTCATCCTGCTGAGGGGGGCAGTACTTAGGCCTGAGCTGACAGAGCCCAGCCTAGGGAGCTGCAGGGACTATGAGTGCCTGCCCTATTACAAAGGTAACAACGCTTTGGGGGTTCGAAGAGGCAAGTGGCAGCCAGGAACCCTTATTATGTTGGGCAAATACATGCCAAAGCGCTGGGCTAGCCCCCCCCCCCCTCCCGCTTCCAGCCACGGAAAGCGGGAGAGCCAGCGGCCAGCGCGGGCCCCGAGGGGAGCCCGGGCTCTGCCCGAGGACGGTTTACCCTCTGCTGGGACTGGGGACGCGATTCTCCCTCGGGGTGAGGGGGCTCACCGGGCACCGTCCCGCCTGTTGTTCCCCCCGCGCCGCTCCCACGGCGGGCGGGCGGGCGGGCACGGCCGAGTGACGCGGCCGGGAGGCGTCGAGCGCGGCCGCGAACCCGCGTCCCCCGGAGCCCCCGCGTCCCCCAGCGGCTGCCGGGCGAGGGGCGGGGACAGGCGGGAGCTGCCCGAATCCCGCCCCGCGCCTTCCCATCCGCCCCCGCGGGAGCGCGCGGACAATGAGCTGGGGGCGAGCGGCGGGCTGGCGCCGCGCGGCACGGCGGGGCTCTCGCGAGAGCTGGGTGAGCGGCTCCGGCTTCTCGCGAGACTGCGGCTGGCGGCGCCTCCCTTCCCCGTCCCCGTCCCCCCCTTCTCCCGTCACCCCCCTTCCCCGGCCACATCCACGCACGGAGGGCGGGGCGGCCGGTTGTCGCCCGCGAGCGGAGAGGAGCGGGAAGGGACGGGACGGGACGGCCGCCGCCGGGCACGTGAGCGGGCGGGCAGCGGGCGGGCGCGCTCTCGCGAGCGCGGCGGGACGTGGCGCGGGGCTCGCGCAGCCGCCTCCCTCCCCTCGGCCCCCTCCGTCCCTCCCCTCCCCCGCTGCCGCCGCAGCGAACGGGACGCGCCGCCGCGGGCCCTTCCCGCCGCGCACACACGCCCCCCTCGCCGCCGGGGCCGCAGGTAGGAGCGGCACTGCGGCCGCCCCCGGCCCGCCGCCATGTTAGGAACCGGCGTCGGCGGCTGCCGCTCCGTGAGGCGGGGAGGGAGCGACGGGGGGGGGTGGGGGGGGCGGCCGTTAGGAGCGGCCCCGGGGGGGAGGGGAAGCGGCGGGGAGGGTGAGGGGTGGGGGCGGGGTTGGCGCGCAGCTGCGGGCCCGGCCTGGCCGGTGCCTCGGCCCCCCCCCCTTTCCCCCCCCGGGTCGCCCGCAGCGCCAACCGGCGCCCCCGCTCGCCGCCTGCCGGTACTGCGGCCGGGCCGGCCCCGAACAAAGCCCCGCCGCTCCTCGGGAACGGCCTCCGGCGGCGGGGCGCGGCCTGCCCGGCCCCGCGCTGCCGGGCGCTCCCTCCCCGGGCCGCCCCCGGGAACGCTGCCCGCCGCTTGTCGAGGGCAGGGAGAGGGGGTTTTTCTCTGGGCTGCTTGGTGTTTCGGCACGTAAAACGTGTTTTCAGGGATGACTCCCGCTAAAACCGTGCTTCGCCCGCCGACTGAAACTTCACCGGTGTGCCCTGCTAGCGCTTCTGGTTCCAGCTGAGGCCTCAGAGTCGGCCGCTCTCCTACCCGGCCCCCTAAAATGCCCACTCGGAAGCTAAACAGCAAGTCAACACCGTGTGTGCCTTCTTAACACCTCTGAAGGCCGTTAGGTTCAAAAACTGCTGGTTCTGATGCTTATCTGGCATTAAGAATCAATGAATTGAGCATTAAGAATAATGACAGTGGAAGTATCTGTTTGACTCCTCTTTCTACTCAGTTTCACTTTCACATAATTTAGGCTGGTTACAAATTGTGCTGCAGGGATTTATTTCTTTTTCCCCTCCTGTTGTGGATTAATAACGTTCTGTGAGGTTTTTATGTACATATTTTGTTTCCGGAGTGAAAGTAATGAGGTATAAACTTCACCTACGCTGAAAATAAGTAAGAGCTAAAAAGAACTCTCTGGGAACCTGAAGAACTACTTCATTCTCATAAATGAAGCATTTATTCTGTAGAAAGCAAGCTGTAAAATGCTCAGTTTAAATGTGTCTTTTTTCCTTTCCACAAAGCATACCTTTGGGAAAAAAAGTATCTGATGCTGTTTTGAACAGCTGAATAGTCTTTATTTTTTTTACTCGACCTTAAATTCTTCAGGCTTTCTGAGCTATTGTGGAATAGGTGATCCTGACTTCCTGGAGTAAGATAAGCAGGGAGCAACTCTTGTTGAAAGCCCAAGTCTCTAAAAACCGTCTGTGTAGTTTTCATGCCTCAGAAGACAAAAAGGGAGCGTTTTCTGATACTTTTTTATAATTTGTTGATCCAGTGGTTTAATGTTCCTGAATTTTGAAACATGTTAATACATTGAAAAATTTAAATTGTATATTATTTTTTCAAAATGTAGTGAAACATGTATTGATGTTTTTAATGTATTGCTGAGAAATCAGTGAACTTCTGTCTTGAGTTTTGTTCAAAGCACGCAAAATGTTTCATTGCTAGATTACATGGAATAATTAAATTTTGGTGAGGATTCTGGCACTTGAGCCTTGTACATGTGCTTGTTCAGTGGTAACCCAGTATTTGTACTTTTACGTTGTGTACTAGCTAAGGAGATGAAATCTGAACAGCAAACTCAATAATTTTGATTGCTTCCCAATTATTCTGGCAAGGCTTGCAATTTCATGAGCCTTTTTCTGTGTGTCTTAGAGAAGCTATCTGAAGTTACTCTGTATTGAAAACTTCTGTTTCCAGTGCTTCGCATGTATTTAGGTGTTACATACATCCCAGCACAAAATGATGGGAAGAATAACCAAGAGAAATTCCTAAATGCATCCTTAAAATGTGAATATCCATATTCCTAAGGGTACAAACTAAAAACCGGTTAAAGAGGAGGAAAGAAGAGTCAGTCTTTGAGGCTGCAAACTAAAATAAAAATCCATGGTATTATGATCCATACATGAAATACAGTTGCCACCTGCTTTATTTAGGACTACACTTAAATAAAAATGCTCATTAATTTGATGGGAAATAAAGTAGTAATTATTGTCTGCTGCCCTTCTGTGACTTGCATACATCTCTGCTGAGAATTTTGGTGAATGCAAAGATACTTTGTAGTCTAATACTTGACAGTGTTCTGGGTAGCTCAGCAAATCTGAGAGAGAAGCTCTTATAATCAAAGCTGCAAATAAATTATTTCCATTCAGTTTATTTGTTAATTTATGAGTGTGGTTTTGTAGCCTTTATGTTGCTTGCATTCTTTCTCAGTGCTCTAAGTTGACAAGTTTTGAAACTAATTTATTTTGCAAGTGTTTAAGTACCGTATTGTGCAGTCGTAACTTAAACAAGAGAGTTTTTGAGCACTAAAACAGTCCCGTGATTCTTCTCTGCAACTTAAAATACATCTCAACGACCTCATGCAAGATTTCAGCTGGGAAAGAATGCGATTTTATCCCAGCTCTGGAAGTGCCTGGAGGTAGACTTACATTCACTAATTAGTCAAAAGGCTTCTTAATCACTTTCCAGATCGGAATACAGAACTGTTCTGTTATGGTTTTGTTTTTTGGTTTTGGTTTTAAGTAAAATTGGTTCTCAGTTACAGTGATCAACTCTGATTTGGTCTGGTTTTGGATCATTTTATAAATGACCTATTTATTTTTTTAAAAATAATTATGGTATGTATGATCTGTGGGTTTTGTCAAAGCTTCGGTGCCTGCGAGGCTATTCATCTCCCAAACTGATGTGAATGAATAGTGATGGTCTCCTCACTTTGCCAAGCACACAAACATATGGTTTTTATTACCAGACCTTCCAGTCTAAGATCCTGCCTCATTCTGCAATAACTCTGTTTTTGGTAGACCCCCCTTCTGTTGAACCAAGCCTTAATGGCTTCATGGAGCTTTTCATAGGTGCTGGAACCTGTGTGCATCCATCTTACTGTAGAGTTGGAGCTCTGCAGGTAGTGACAAAGGGTGGGCTTAGAAGTAGTAGGAAGGAGTGCATGGAAGCCTTAGAGGTAATCCTGTGTTTATGGAGCGGTCATTACACTTGATGGCAGTTACTCTGTATGTTCTGGGCTGTTTATTTTCCCTCTCTAAAAATACATATTTTTTTTTGCCTCCTCTACTTTTCCTGTACTGTTCCTCGGGCCCTTTTTTCATTTCTGTTGTTTCTGTAAAGGAAGACATACTTATTTTCCATTCACTTCTTATAAAAAGAAGGATGCTTGGATTTATTAAATTATATAATGAGCAGAAATAGGAAATCAGTGTCTTACTTTCACAGTGTTCTTTTGTGTATTCAAATGTTGAAAACTAAGTTCTTTTAAGATTCTTAATTGCTAAACTGGTCATTTTCTCCATTTATAAATGTCTTTTTCATATGTAATACTTCTCTGTTCTGAAGCAATCCTCTGCTACAGTAACTTGAAATCTTAGATTATTATGTTCTCCTCTGATCAAGCAAGCCACTGAGATGAAGCTGAACATAATCCTAAGAGACGAAACTGTTCCAGTTGTTCTGCAAGGCCTGAAACAGATTGTCTAATCTGCGCACAAAAAAAGTGCATGCATCCAGTGTGCCAGGTGCTGCTTAAATTTTTGAGGTCGTGACCTCTGAAGATTGGTCGAACGAGATGAATTGCTTTCTTGCATGTGAAACAGCAATATTAAATAACCACTCTGAATACTGGTACCTGAAATGGGTTATAATCTGCATTTTATCTATCTGAGGCTGCTAGACAATTCCTCCTTTGCTTTCGGAAAGACAGTGGCCTTTTCTGTATTGTCCAAGTTAAAGTAATCCCTTAGATTTAAAATCCATTACACTCAGTCATTCAGCAGCTAGATAACATCTGCTTCTAATTTCCTTGCAAGTTCTTGGTTTTACTACCATTAATTTTCAGAGCAACATGGGGAGCTGCCTGTCTAAATTTGTCACTTGGACTTCCAGATCTCTTCTGTCGATAGCCTTTTTTGCTCTGGTGCGTTTGGAGAGAGTTTTGCCAAGAAGTTTATGAATTCTTCCATAGCAGAATAGATTGCTGCAAAAGGGAGCGCTGCACCGAGTGTAACACGTAAGGGAGGAGAAGAAAAATCTGTAGAGTTTTGTTCAAAGACCAAAAATTATGGATGTGAAACTTCGAGACTTTTTTCCCAAGGGTATACAGTCATCAAAAGTCTTGTGTTGTTACAAACTGAGGGTGTTTTTCAGCTTGCAGATTATTTCATGTTTTTACCATAATTGAGTTTATTTGATTACATTCAATGCATTTTCAGTGATTCTGGTTTTGAAGTGAAAGTGAAACTGACTAGAAAGTGAAAACAGTTATTTTTCAGTTTTGAGACTTTTCTATAAATAGTGGAAGAGAAATGGGTAAAAGATGAATTGTTCTAAGAACAAGATTAATATTAAAGCTATAATATGGATGCACAGCTTAAAAAATAGTGGTAT